GATATAGGGTAGTCTGGTATATAAAAGAGGGTGACAACGTGACGGTAATGTGTGTGTAGGTAATGAGTAATTGAACTGCAGTCAGAGAGAGACGTATTGTTGAAGTGAATTATAGTTTGTTTTACCGTGATTGTTGAAATTAAGTGTATCGTAAAGTTATATTCGGAAAGAATAAACCAGTTTTATTAAGTAAGGATTTGTGTCGCTAAAGTTTCGTCAGAACAAAGTTACGGAAAGTTAATTAACAAACGGAGACGTAACAATATGTTATTTAGAGATTCAGCAAAAAAAACCTCTTAAAACACTATTACTATATTACTTGTATAAATATCGTAATTTTTGTTATTGTTAAAGCTCATTAAAAATATCGTAAGCTATTTAATTAGTATAGTTTCACAAAAAATAATCACAAAAATTCATAAATTTTTAATAATAATATTTCTTTAACCCCTTGTACATTTTGTTCTCATTAACTCTAGTTAAAAATGTTAATGTTCTTTTTAATTAATTTTAAATTATTTTGAGAATACAGCAGTTAACTCGGATTAATGTCTTTAGATTTATGCAGTTATACACCAAGTTGTTGATTATAGGCTGGTCTTACATTTGTTTGTCCTGTTGCTATAGTGTCCAGCAGCTATTAGCAACCTTATATCCACTTCATTCATGTTAAATAATTGGTGTAAAAATGATACATAATAACTGACTAAAGTAAAAATAAATAAATATCTGTATACAATAATTAAACAGGTCTCTATCGAGCAGTTACCTCCCTGTGTTTTGTGGTTCGAAATGAAGGATGGTACCACGCTACGTGGACTGCGCAGTAACAAACGTGTGCGACAAGAATCAATGATTGAAGAGAGGAGAGCCTGTGCTTTGGCCTGTGCTAAAACCTCCTCTGGCGTCTAACAGTAACCATTGAATGGTTCTTGTTCGAGATACTGTACAATCAAAAACAGTCTTTTAGCTAGGCTCTTTTCTTTGAATATATTTAGTAGTTAATTTAATGTATCAAGGTTTGTGACCTAGTTTTACCTGATGTATACCTTAACCTTCGAAACCTTTTTTTTTTTCGGGTGAGTTTGGTGGTCATACATCATGTAACCATTTTGTGTGGACAAATGACATAGACTGCATGAGATACCGCTAATTAATTGTATACCACTGACATGGACATAAATGTCTTGTATATCATTCTGATAAATCATTTAATTTCTAAAATGTTTATATGTGTGATCATATCATTAGATAATTACGAACACGGGATTAATAAAGGGACCGTCAAAAAGAAAAATCTATATTATTTTGAATATTACCCACTTAGTAATAATAACAATTGTGATACATAAAATTTGAGAAAGCTATAATCTAATTCAATACCGTTCTGCTTCTACTAAGAAAGTGTTCTTTATTTGACATAAACATGTTGACACGAGTACAACAGGGCGGAGCCAACTGGGCAGTTTTTCTGTGAAAGCTATTTATAATATGGGTTAACTAATCTTGGAGAAATCAAATATTTGCATTACTGGTTAATTTTCTTAAAAAAAAAGAGATAATAATAAATCACAGAAGACAAATTTTAGTAACTTCCCGAGGGGTATTCCGATGACGCCAACAAACAAATCGGTTTTGATTGATATGACGTACAGAATATTTCCTTCCCAAAAGAACCAATCATTTGTATAGGTACTTTGGTCCTGACCAATCAGAAGCATATCTAATCACATGGTTTTTGTTGACGTTAAGAGCCGGCTACGTGTAATCAACAAAAGGAGAACAGAAGTGAACGGTGAGAGACTAGTTAATTAGACCAGGTTAATCTACTGAAGGATTGTCAGTTTCATTCGTTTGAATCATATGGTATTTACAATGTAGAAAATCGTTCAAGTTTTGGTTACACTAGTTTAGGAATTTAACAGGAAAATGTCAACCGGAAAACGTCTTGCAAAGCGATCTATCTTAGGCACGAGAGTCAGTGTTCCACTCGAGGACGGGCTATATTATCCGGGTGTTATTCGAGCTACCAAAGCGGATGAGCGTAACCAAGAAAATATTTATTGCGTCCAACTTGAAAACAAAGAAAATCGAGAGTTTTTGTTTCATGAACTAATTGGACCAGGTTTCCAGAGTATTTTTCGAGTAAAACTGAAAAAAGGACAGAGAGTTTTTGTGACTTATAAAGGCCGAGAGGTCGCAGGGTTAGTTGATCATCATAGGCCTAACTTGGATCAGGTAATGATTACAGTAGAGCCTTCATCTCCAAATCCCCATGTTACTAAGCCTACATTACTAAAAAAGAAACTGGAAGAAGTTCGTTTGCTTGAGAGCCGGAAATCTGCACGACTACAAGATTTAGATACTGATTATTCAAGACTTGCTGAGGGTCAGTTCGAAATTAGACGACGACCTCCATCTCTAACCATTGAAGTTCCAACATTACAAAGGTAAACACTTGTTATTTAAATTTAATATAAAAGTAAGTTCAGTAATGTTACTTTTTATGTCGACATATTTTCGACCCAGTATAAGTAAAACCATTTATCTCTTGGTTTTGATATTTTTACCGGAGGACAGTGTGTGAAAATGTTATGTGAACAATAAACAGTAAAACACGGCCCGATAGGTAAGAAAGGTCCAATATCGTATATGATAAATTTCCCGTTATAAAAAACGCTTTCAAAAATCAATAACCATGAATTATTGTTTCTTAAATTAATTTCCCCTGTCTTCATTAGGAAGTTTATAGGCATATTGTGAGCAGGATTTGTCTGTAGTTTTAGTTTCACGAAAATGAATTTTACTTAAATATCTTTGAAATTTTGAGAATATTTTCATTAAGTCACAGAAACCATTAGAAAGATATTTGAAATTTTCATAAAACTTCTTGACGGAAAATTACCCAAACTTACCATTTTTCATAAGCTGAAATTCACCAAAACACTTTAAGAAATTGCTTAAATTTATCACGAGTAAAAAATACAAAATCACGTGGCTAATGTCAGAGGAAACAACTAAATTTGGTAAACATTTTGGAACAGCAGATTCTCTTCTGCTAGAATCCTCGTTTTGATGATGATGTTTTGTTGGAAATGTGTAATTAAGAAAAAGATTTTCCCAACACTATAAACTTTTCTTACCAGGAGGTTTTTTACATGTGCGAAATTAAATTTGTTTGTTCTTACTCCAAATTTTCTGTTCATCTTTGGTCTTTTTTACATGAATGTATACACGTTTTCTAATAAAAGTATTACCTTTGTTATGATTTTTAACCGAACAACACTCGTAAAACACAGGATTTCACATTATTTTATTTCAAGTTACAGCTTTTACAGTAATGAATATTATCTATCAGAATAGGTACGACGTTTCAATCACTGGTACGATCATTCTCAAGTACACAAATTTTTACAGTAAAGAAGGTTTATCTTGTGAGAATGATCGTACCAGTGATCGGTGTTCCAAAAATAATCTTCCTTGCTGTAGCTTGTAATAAAATAATACATAGTAAGTAAACTCAAAATGAAACTAGTATTTCACATTGTTGCAAAACAAAATTTTGTTATTGGTTTTTGTAAACAATATTTTTATATTTCTATCTGATGAAGAATACTAAATTTACATAATTTAAATGTTATATTCAAAGAACTAACATGTTTTTGCAGGTCATAACATGTACCGGCAAAAGTGACAGTTTAGTTGTGTGTGTGTGCACACATCCCATAGTTATCGCTAACCTATACATGGCTTGTAGGCTGAAACTGGTTAGCTTGACACTCTCCACACCAGCTGATCGCAAGCACCGGGAGAGTTCATTAGTATTATGGGTAGAGTTGCAACTCGACAATCACTAGCCGTTTAGTTTTTATTCAGATAACTGAGTCTGCACCAACGTGTAATAAAAAAAAATAGAAAAATTAGTGTTAAGGTTTCTTACTGAGGACTTGCATAATATATACAGTTGCCTATGGTTTTCTAAGCTTGATATTTTTATGGTATAAACATCATAGTTCAAAGGTCAAACCAAGATTTAAGGTCAAGATAGTTCTACTCCCACTGTCCCATCTCCTATTCGATGAATTGCATAACAATTTTAACACAGTTATGTGTACTTATCAAAAGTTGTCAGAATAAATAGGTTAAAGGACTGGTGGGTTCCCGCTTGTCTTGCCCTGGAACACAAGGCAAAACGGATGGATCTGTTGATGCACGTGAACATAACACACATATACAAACATATAAAAAAAGTCATAGTTGGCCTGTTTTCTTTAAGCATCCTATCAAACAAAAAAAAAAAAAAAAAAAAGGCTTAAGTTTCCAATATTTTATCAGCCTGTTAAGTGCTTGTAAGTTAACAGTTTTTTTGTTTGTTTTGTTTTTTAAACGTGTACTTAGAAAGTTAAAACCGACAGATTCTGTTTAAGTCTTAGCTATTTAACTGTCAGTTTTGTTTATGTTTTGGCCTTTTTTAACCGAAGAGCTTCGTAAACGCAGAAGATTAATTTTTATGTGTGTGTGTGTACGAAAATGTATATAACATGTCAGTAATAAAAAAAATAATAATAGTGATCAACAAACAGCAGCTGCCCGTGAGATATAGCTCTTTTACAACAGATTTTATCGCTGGACTGATTCCTTTTTATTATTTGGTAAAACTAATAAAGTCAATGTTTACCATTAACAAAGGATACTATTCATAAATAGATAGTTCACTAAATCATTAGTTAAAAGCGTTAAATAATGTGCAATCACAATTCTGGTTAACGAAACAAAATCATCTTGTTTACTATCTAAACTGTCCACTTACCAAATATTTTTGGTACGTTAGGATGACCTCTTGTCCTTTATCGTCACTTGTTGTCTTGTCACTGGGGGGGAGTTCTTCGGTAGATGTTCGAGAGAATTCACTGGTGGTTTTATTTGTGGTAATACTCTGGAAGTTTCTCGACAGGAAGCTAAGATTAGGTTGACTTAATCTCTGGTAAAGTATTTTCTAAAACTGAATATTTGGCTGTTCTCCTGTCAACGTCCATCCAGGGATGATCACAACTTTTGGTTTGGACCACCCATTCTTCTGAATTCTGCTATGTTGTATGTATTCCATGACTTTGTACACTATGGTATCATGAATTGGTCATGTGTCAACTAATCTACCATTTAACGCGGAGCATCCAGTGCGAGTCTTTCCACATCTTTCGCATGTTCGACTAATATGTTGTCTTTCCTCATTACCCTGCTCTGAAACTTAGTTTTGGAAACTCCTTGCTGGTGTACTATTCCAAAGTTGTTTGATAAGGTAGTCACCAATGTTTAATAATTGTTACTCTCTCAGTTGGCAGATTGATTAATGCTGTTAAGGTTGGTCCTTTGGCAGCAAGATGAATAGTGTGTTGTTCACTATTCCATTCATTCACTTTGGTACCTTTCTTGATTGGATGGAGCTATTCAACTAGCCTGCTAAGATGTAAAACTGGATGAGGTAGTGATATAGCTGGATTAATCCAGGAAGGTTCCACATTCCTCAGTGGCACAGTAATGACTTCTACCAGATTGGTTGTATTCAGTATTTTGAGTTAATGGTGTTCGGGGCTTAAATTCTCGAGCTGGTGTCAATAGTTTAGTCCATGCATTTAGAAATTGGTTTTCCTTATGTTTTATTCTGTCATTGATGTTCTTTTCTGCACATTATACGTGTTTTATATACTTTTATATATTCTATTTTTATTACTTCTTCAACTTCACGTATCCAGTAGTTTCTTCAATCAAATTTATTTTTGTTCTTAATTCTTCTTTAAGCCTTACACCCTTTTCTTGTCATTTCTCTCTTAAATTCCTATCTCTTTCATGGTATTCTTTTAATTTTATTTCTCGCTCTGACCCATAGTGGGTCAACAGTAAGTTCATGGAGTTAAAATGCAAAATTTCAAGATTAAATTCCTCACAGTTGACAGAATGTAAATAGCCCATTATGTAGCTTTGCACTAAAACAAACAAACCCTATCTCAGTCTTCTGATTTTCTCTATCATTCTTCCTGGTCTTTTTAATTTTTTCCCACTGTTTCATCATTTTCAATAGATGCATGATCTTGTTTCATACACATGTCATCATTATCTTGATGTTCGTTCTTGACTGTATTTTATTTTTAACAACATTATTCCATTCCTGACATCAGTGTTATAATGGATATTATCATTTGACTGGTTATTTTTTATTATTAGGTAAAAATAATACAAAGCCCAGCCCACTTAACGATAACGAAAGCGATTTGTTTCTTTAATTGTTCTAAAAGCTACCGCCAACTCACGAATAAAACTAAATAGTTACCTAATTGTAAACTTTCTACCTTGTTTAAACACAAGTTAAAATATTACATTGCTGAACTGATTTACTAACAAATTCACTGATTGATTCTACAACTGATTAACCCACTAATTAACTGACTAAATCACTCATATTGATATTTTTATACAATATTTTCCCCTCAAATCTCACGAAATTTCGAGACTTCTCGTCCAGTCTAGACATTAGAAAATTTCTAGGCTTCACACGTCATCACTCCCTTTTGCCAAAACTCCCTCTACCAAACAGTACAAAACGTCTAAATTAGAATATTAAAACATAGTTCACAACAGTACTTTAGAAGTAAGAAAATTAGGGCTGGAAGGTGATTTGGTTTTACAAGTGGCAATTCCACTTGACCTTGGAATTTTTGATTAACCTCTGACCGGCGATTTTACGATATAGCATCAATTTATTAGCTGGCGTCAGACTCACTGAACCTATGGATGAAACTACAATATTACGAAGTCAGAGGAAAGTTTGTTTTCGTTATGAATAGCTGCAAAGACTTACGATAAAAAAAGAACCTAAAGTTTTGTATTCAGTTGTCGTTAGTCAGGAAAAACATTATGTAAAATGGTTTTATTGGTTTGTCTTGAATTTCGCACAAAGCTACACGAGGGCTATCTGCGCTAGCGGTCCCTAATTTAGCAGTGTAAGACTAGAGGGAAGGCAGCTAGTCATCGAATAGTGGGATTGACCGTCACACAATAACGCCCCCACGGCTGAAAGGGCGAGCATGTTTGGTGTGACGGGGATTTTCGAACCCGCGACCCTCAGATTGCGAGTCGAGCGCCCTAACCACCTGGCCATGCCAGGCCTTTTTATCTGCCCGCCACGGGTATCGAAACCCGGTTTCTAGCATTGTAAGTCCGCAGACATACCGCTGTGCCATTGGGGGGGGCATGTAAAATGGAATGAACTCCATGAATCGACAGTTTATTATGAAAGTTTATATGAAAAGGCTGAACTTAAATTTTTAAGTGCTGACATCACATTAACGAATTTTGAAATTATCAGAAAGTTAACTTGAATGAAAACCTGTTAATCTTTTATATTTCTTTCACTTTTTCGTCATATAATGGAATACTGAAGTGACCACATATGCTAACTAAATATTTACTCCTGTTATCTCTGCTTGAAAATATGTGACTTGTTTAGTGAACGGACTGTAAAAAGGGTGGGATTTTTAAGGGTATAACAGTGATGTACCGGAAAGAGAAGAAGACCATGACTTGCACGGAAATTACTAAAGTTTCGTGAATTTTTCATAATCACTATTTAAACGTTGCTAAAACCAGGTTTCGATACCCGTGGTGGGCAGAGAACAACTGTCCCATTGTACAGCTTTGTGTTTGACTTCAAACAAACAAGTAAACGTTGTTTAGCTTCGTATTACTGAGGATAACACGTGAAAAAAAAAGCTACAAAAAAGAATATTTCCCAGAATTATTGTGCTACAACATTCATGTTCATATTTAATACATTTCGGTACCCTATATTAATTCAAACTGTATGTCCATCTAACTTCCTTAGAATTATAAAACTAGCAGGACCAGGTTTACCTGATTTCCAGAGTGCAAAACTGGGGCTTTTTTTTTTCCTTCTCTAAAACAGTTGCCTCCAGTGGCACAGCGGTATGTCTGCGGACTTACAACGCTAGAAACCGGGTTTCGATACCCGTGGTGGGCAGAGCACAGATAGCCCATTGTGTAGCTTTGTGCATAACTACAAACAAACCTAAAACAGTTCAACTGACAATAACACACTTTTTACATTTGCTAAATAATCTGATGTTTATTACATCGCATTTTGTTTACAAACTTTGTTTAAAGCTTATATAGTTAAAAAATAATAACAAATACAAAAAAAAAACGCTTTTAAGTTGTTTTCAAACTACTCAAAAGAAAAACGTTCCTTTTTGATGGGAGTCTCAAAAAGAGGTTTTCGAGGTTGCTGACCCCGAATATCCCGTGGCACCATGTTTGAAACTGTTTTCATACCCCCACTCAAAGGGATCTGGGAACGTGCTAATAAAGCCTCAGATCCTCATGGGGTAATTAGATTAATCTTTTCCAGGAATAAATAGTTCACATTGTGAAGGGGGAGGAAGAGGTGCACCTGACTCTCCCAGGTCTACAAACCAACAAGACCTACAACCTGATCAAGAACGTTTAAATACACAAGCTAACAGGAGTAAACTTAGCACGAATGCTCATGTACCACTGGCGAGTGCCTTTACTTTTTATTTTATTTTTTCGTGGAATAGCTGTAGAAGTAATTGGACACAATAAAGGAGATTGGGAGTTTCATATAGTAGAAATTTTAGGGTGGTTTCATTTCTACTTTAGGAACTATAATAACTTTTAAGGGTAACTGCCTTCCCACAACTGGCTGCAGACATTGTGGATGTAAGCACTCAACTCCATACCTTTAACTGATATTCCATGTTAGCTGGCTAGTTTAACATCAGCATTCTGATTTTGTCTGGTAGCTGGGATATTCCCAACACATTTGGGAGCTATTACCACAGGCATTATCCTCTATGACTTTAATTAAGGTGACAACTAGGACTGACAATGGAATAGTTACTAAAATCTTCTTACTGCTTATTTTATATTAATTTCATTAGGTTTATAGTGCTGATTTTAATCGCCTATTTATAATTAATGTAATTAATAGTATTGAAGATATATATATACCCCCCCACACCCCTTACTTTGAGATTTACTCTAGTATGGCTATGTTTGTTGTTAAATGCAAAGTTACACGATGAGCTAGCTATCTGTGTTGTTCCCACCACGGGTATCGATACCCGGTTTTATCATTTTAAGCCGTCAAGACTTATCGCTGAGCTAGTGGGGGGTCTCTAGTATAGCAGATTTTTAAGAATACATATTTTAACTGAAAAGAACCAAATTAAATGTTTCAAAATTTGTGATGAGCCCCAAGGTTCACAATTTTTACCATTTGTTGTGGTACAGTCAGTGATAAACCATTAAATATCCTTACGTAAAGGTAACTAACTACATGACCATTTATTCACTTATCTGATAATGATTCAGTATCATCATGGGTAAAAATGTAATGACAGTCATTTGGTTACTAACAAGAGAAAAGTGGTGCTAAATTTCTACTACACTGTTAAATAGAAATCACATTTTTTTTTTCAGCTGTGATAATTTTTGATGTTGTTGCTTTCCTTTGTGTAATTGTAATGTTCTGTAAATTTTGTGATTATCACGAATGTGTGGAGCATAGTACGAGAAAAGAAAACTTTCACTCGTACCACCAGTCAAGTTCCAATAGTCATTTCTTATATTTAAAGAATGATTTCGGCGGATAAATGTCCTTCAAAAATATCTATTGTCGATTTTTGGCATGAAAATCGTGTAAAAAAAATTAAAGAGTGGAATAATCTCAAAATATATTTCCCTACAAAACATTAGAACAATGGAATATTCAACCAAAATGACACAGTTTAATATTCAGTTGTTGATAGATATATTAAATTTTTAACACAATATATTCAATGGTTATATGTAAATTTCTATCTACTTAACAGTGTTGTATGACAATATCTAAATCTTACAGACACACGACAAAGCATAATGTTACACCTGTCAATCAAATCGTATAAATCTGTGTATTTTGTAGTATTGTATGTATGTTGATTTTCTCCAGGGGATTAAATATAATGTTTGGTTTAACAACAGTTTTCGTCTTTTAAGTGTATCTGTATTTCTAAATAATCAAAATAACGATTATTTGTTTTTAACGTCAATCCAGCGGACGAAAAAGGCGACCAAGTTCAACAGACGACGGTGACGTCATGAATGATTGTTCCGCTGCTATGGTGCTCATGAGTTTATCTTGCAGTCCGAAGTCCCCTCGCCGTTCTGACTCAGGTAAAAGTAGCATGTTTGTCAGAGAAATTCAACGGTTTTTCAACGTAAATGAAAACTTCTGTGCTCCTTGCAGTTTTAACTCCCTATAGCTAATGTTATTCAAACACTACATACAAAAATTACCTTTGTCTCATGAACTTTAGACAAAATAAGAGAATCGTGTAAATTATTCGGATCCGTGAGGATAACTAAACATTGTTTAAATTAAAGAAATCTCGGTGATGTGTTATTTACACAAGTTATTTTAAAATGGTAAGAAATTTTCATGTGACAGTTTAAGCTAGTGATATTTATATCAGTTAATGAGTTATGAATTAGTAAATGAATTTTTTTAGCAATAATAATAGGTAACCTTGTACGTATTTTGGTTAAATTCACCTCACTGGCACTGATTTCTTTGGAAGAATACTAAGCACAGTTTTGTATTCAGTGTGTCCTTAATTCCCATTGTAGGCCTACAATAATATTTTTACCAACCTATTTGAAAACCGGTTTTGAATGTCATACAAACTTAGTTCGAGGCAGGCTGAATAGAGATTTTATGTTTTAAATTTGCGAGATTCGTTAGGCGAATGCACACACACATACAGAGACACAAACACGCATGTGTTTATTTAACTGTGTAGCCTTGGGTATTCCTAGTCATGTTGATGTTGCTTCGTGTGTCCAATTGATAACCTTGAGTTCCTTCAGCAGTTAGCAGTTGATAAAGTCAAGTGCTCAGTGTTAGAGATAGATAATATAAGTTTAAGTAGATTTGAACTGGTAAGCAAAATTACCAGCGAATTACAAACAACATATAAATTACTAAGGTATATTCTCTCCATTGAACAGAGAAAAGTCTGAGCGCTACAGCTTGGTTGATTCCAAGCATACAACGAAGATGGACCCCCAAAAATTCAATATTTGCGCTTAATTTAATATTGAATATTTGTATGAGAATTTCATAAGGTCTCAAAATAATTGTGAGGGGGGAAAAAATGTGTTAAATTCGAAGAATATGTGAATTTTAAGTGGACTTCGTGTTAAAGTTAAACATTCAAAAAAGCTGGATTTTGCATCATTTATCCGAATGTATTCCGGACCTTCTTGGACAAAAATTTAAATACAGAAATTTGAAGATCCCGATTCATATAGTATATCATGAAAATCTAGGTGTAATAGTTTTATAGAAAATATACATATTACAGTATTTTTTCTAGAAACAAAGCAAAACAAAGTAATGTATATAAAAAAAAACAGAAATTCTTTTGTGACAGAAAATAAAAACGTGTCATTAGCTTATCTGATTTGTATACCGTAATTAGAACTTAGCTTCATAATAGGGGAATGTAATTAGACCCGGGATAAATATGTTTGTTTGTAATTAAGCACAAAACTACACGATGGGTTACCACAGGTATCGAAACCCGGATTCTAGCGTTTATGTTTGTATAACTATCTGGCGAAATGAAGACATAAAACTATAAGCTGAGGGTTGGTTTTAATTGATGAATTACACCTTAACCTCAACTTTTGAAAAGCGGACAAGTGAACTAAAGATCCACTCCAGTTGATGCTTCTCCATTTGTGTGGATAATCGCAATAGAGGCCTCCAGGAAAACGGGTCTTTAAAATCTTTTCTCGTCATCTTCATACAGTGGGGTTATGGCAGTATGCCATTAATCATGTTTTTTGCTAAGGGCAAGGTAACGCAAGGGTACAGAATAATCCTTTCTGTTATGTATAGGAGTCTGCTGATTGGCTCCTGTACACACAGCTAAAAAAAAATAATAATAAGGGGAAAAATACCTTACCCACAGGCTATATATAATTTGCCCCTTTTGTTGTAGTCACTGGAGTGTATGTGAGGTTAAAGTTCCAAGACTCCACAGTTACGCTTCTCACGTGACGAGAATTGTAATATTTCCTTACACGTTGTGAGTAATGCAGAACAGCCTGAAATTTTGGCTGGAAGTTGGAAAACTTGAGCTGTGGGGGAATGAGACTTTACGCTTGTTAAAGACAAAACCGGCAGTGTGGGTATCGAGAATACGGGGGAAAAATTTTCCCTTTTTTCTGTTTACCTCATAGCAGAGCAAGTTTTTGTTTGATTTTTGTGTAATTGTAACTAGGAAGGTGTAGTTTCGTATGTATATTATGGCGGTATGTCTGCGGACTTACAACGCTAGAAACCGGGTTTCGATACCCGTGGTGGGCAGAGCACGGATAGCCCATTGTGTAGCTTTGTGCATAAACTCAAACAAACAATGCATATTATGTTCGGAGGTAACTTTGATTGGCTCACTTTTTCCCGTCTTTATTTTTTCTTATCTGTATATTTACTTTAGAAGAAGCTGATTGAATTTTTATAACCTTCCAGTGATTCCAGATTTTTACGAGTCCATATATCGACGTTTTAATTCTATTAAATAATCGCACTGTGTGGATTTGATTTGCAGCTTCCCATCTACCGCACACATAATTGTCATACTATATATATTTTAATATTTTAAATAACTTTTCATTTACAACTGACCCACGGTCATTAGTGAATAAAATACCAGTTTATGCCCATCTGTGCATTGTTTGCGTATACGGTGTCGTTACGAGCAAAATATTTTCAATTATTCATAGATCCTTGTCATTGTAGGTGGCGTTGTTTTAAGAAAGGCTATTAAATGGCGCTTACATGAAATTATTCCTTCAAGTCATGCGTGTTTACATGTTGGGGCGTCCGTTGCCATGGGCCATTTCGTGTTAGTCTGACAGTTTTATTATGAGAGAGAAAAAAAAAAAGCTGTAATATCGTATATTTTTTGTTCTATACATGTTATATAGTTTGTAAAAGCAGCTATCTATCACAGAATATTTCGTCACGTTCGCAAGGGCGAGTTCAGGGAAGGGCGTTTGTTGATCCAGAGCCGCACATCGACCCCGGTAAACAGTGCGAAGGGTTTCCGTTTTCTCCCGAACACTTGTTTACAGAATTAAATTTGCAATTGTTCAGAAACCGTATTAGAAATTTATATGATAAGCCGACTTTAGTATGAGGATGATAATTTCCGGTGGCTAGTTCATACAGTTGAGATCGTTAAAATTAGATATGTGTTTAAATCAACGACCGTGACTCATACTATTCATGTTATTAATAACTTATCGTCAACTATAAAGAGCAGAACTAAATGAAACCTGACGTGAAAAATAAATCGATTAAAAAAACACAATGTCATCAGTCAACATATAAGAAAACTACAGCCTATAACAATTAGAAACCATTGCATCACCAGTTGTTTAAGTATCTTCGCAGTTATCACTTTTAGCCGGAATCAAAAATGCCTCACGAGATTCCGCCAGCCTGAGAATCACGGCCCTAAATCTATATATACGTATGGTAAGCTAACAATACAAAATAATCCGTACAACTGTTAACACGTTCGTCCTAAATCTATATATACGTATGGTAAACTAACAGCATAAAATAAACTGTACAACTGTTAACACGTTCGTCCTAAATCTATATATACGTATGGTAAACTAACAGCATAAAATAATATTTACAACTGTTAACACATTAGTCCTAAATCTATATATACGTATGGTAAACTAACATCATAAAATAAGCTGTACAACTGTTAACACGTTAGTCCTAAATCTATATATACGTATGGTAAACTAACAGCATAAAATAAGCTGTACAACTGTTAACACGTTAGTCCTAAATCTATATATACGTATGGTAAACTAACAGCATAAAATAATATTTACAACTGTTAACACATTAGTCCTAAATCTATATATACGTATGGTAAACTAACAGCATAAAATAATATTTACAACTGTTAAATAATTTAATAATAAACCTAACCGTTCAAAATTCTGTTATGATTCTGTATTTTCACCTATGACTAGAAATCATTTAAAACAAGTTGGTATTGATTACCTTAGCAAAAGTATTGATTACCCTGATTAGTTTATAAGAAATGGGGGGAGGGGAATATCTGAGCCTGCATTTGCAAAGTATACGGGAAATTACTTGAGAAGGTTCTTGTTGTGAGCATTGTGTGTTAATATTAATAATAATTAGCATACTTTTTGTGTTAACCTGGTAATTTAGTGTATAATTACATCAGTGGATTAAATCAATATATATCACATAATTAAAAGCCATAATGCGGTTTAAATGTAAACAATTTTACACGTCATGAACTTTGATTTAATTCGAGATTCGTATGGTGAGTTTAAAAGCCAATCTATGGTACTGTACTAAAAACTGTTATAAACAGAAATGTTGCCAGTCTTCATTTCCTTGCATAACCTATCGATATACTGGCTGGTCTGTGTGAGCAGTTTGTTTTAAAGTTATCTGTATCACTATACTTGGTTGTCATATCGTTCACCACTTCCCAGTACTCGGTTTCTTTTACCAAACGTAGCAGTTGTTTTCAGTCTGTTGTCCGGGCTACTCCTTACTAGCTACTTCTCTGTAGTTCAGTGGTTTTCAATCTGTTGTCCGGGCTACTCCTTACCAGCTACTTCCCTGTAGTTCAGTGGTTCTCAATCTGTTGTCCGGGCTACTCCTTACTAGCTACTTCTCTGTAGTTCAGTGGTTTTCAGTCTGTGGTTCGGGCTACTCCTTACTAGCTACTTCCCTGTAGTTCTGTGGTTTTCAATCTGTGGAGCGAGGGACTCCTTACTAGCTACTTCCCTGTATTTCAGTGTTTTCAGTCTATGGTGCGAGGGACTCCTTCGGGTGATCCGTCAAAAGATTGGATAATTATGGAGAGAGAACGGTAACATGTTCTATAGGTCCGTTTGTGGTCCACAAAGATAAAAAAGTCAGGTTATTTGGAGAGAAAAAATCTGAGCAAATCAGGGACGGTACACGGATAGACTTTGTGTTAAAATTCTCAAAAAGAAGTTATGTGAAAGTGAGCCCCCAAACCCAGAATCCCCACCGTCAAACAAGCAATTCTATGAACCCATGAGTGAAAGCAAGAGAAATATGTTATACTCTGTCAATCCCGGTACATCTGCAATATCCAGTGCCGACGAGGCCCTTCGTATAATACTAGGCTGGCCAGGATACGACACGTATAGTGGTGGTCTTGATGCTATATATATATATATTCATGAGTTTTCGTGAACAATTGCTGTTATTGTGTGGATAAATGTAAACAAGTCAATTGTAACTTCTCAAATCAGATTTTTAGGTAAGAATAACACAACTTTGTTTATTTGATTTTTATTTTAACCCTGGATAAGCAAGTTCCGTGAAAGTGAGTCCCGACCCCAGAACCATCACTGACAGATAAAGTACACACTACTGTCCGTCCAACAAGTTGTACAAATTATCGTGTGATACTGGGGCGTAGATGATAAACTTCACTGATCATCATCACGGAGCATGCGTGATGGCCTGAACTGAACGCAGATTATTTTAGTAGAGAAAAAAAAAATAAAAATCGCTAACTGAAGACGGTAGAACTACTCCGAGGTTCCGGCATTCCTTCCCCCTCGCCCCTCCCCCTTTTTTTTAAACTTGTAATCCGTTATACTATGTAGACTCGGGGAATGTTTTGTAAAGATGTGCATAGCCTACTTAAAAGTCTTTTACCACTCCCTCCCTGCTGAGTATTACCATTAGAGGTCGCTGCTGCTGTGTGAGTGTGAACTGGGAAATTACTTTAATTTTTAGTTTTCGGTTCACGATTTTTTAATTGTAACTTTTTTTTAACATACGTGAAATGTAACGGGGAAATTCGAGCACTTATCTGTAACGGTTTCAGTTTCAAAGGTTGTGGTTGACAAAATAAAACACTCGGACATGCAGATATTAGGTTGTTAGTAGGCATTCTGTGCACACGGTCGTCGAACGTTTATGACGTAGTAAAGAAACTCACTTGTTCCACCAATCCGATGAAATTTCACGATGAAGGCGTTTTTACTTGAGGAGGTTAAAATATTGTTTGTTTGTTTAATTTCGCGCAAATATACTCGAGAGCTATTTACGCTAGCCGTCCCTAACTTAGAATTGAATAGGCTACAGGGAAGGCAGCTAGTCAGCAACACCCGCCGCCAACTTTCTGGATACTCTTTACTAACGAAAAGTGGGATTGATCATTATAGCGCATCCACGGCTGAAAGGGCGTGTTTGGTGATGGATTCGAACCCGCGTGACGAAATATTATAAGTCATGGTGGAAGAAGACTAGCCACCATATGAAAAGTGTACTATCTGAACTGTTCTTCTCCGTAAAGTAGACGAAAAAAAACGGTACTTGAATATTTTAAACTATTGTGTTTTGTTTTTACTAAAATAAAATTAAATATTAATATATATATATATATATATATATAATAAGTTTTGTTTGTTTGCTTGGAATTAAGCACAAAGCTACACAATGGGCTATCTGTGCTCTACCCACCACGGGTATCGAAACCCGGTTTCTGGCGTTGCAAGTCCGCAGACACATTGCTGTGCCACTGGGGGGGCCAAATAATAATAGATGCTAGTAAAATAGAAGTAACTGTTTTATTAGTAATCTATATTTTACAAGATTCTTCGAAGGTTGTAATGATAACATCTGTTGTATTTCACAGTTTTATACAGATATTGTTATCGTATAAGTCTGAAAAAGTTAGGAAAAGAACGTTTCTGTCTTTTTTTTCACAGCTTGTATCAGCTATTATATACCCACAGCCTTATCAAATACTTGTAACAATTTGATGCACCCTCGGAAATGTTACCCAAATGACCACTCGGAATTTTACGTATTTCATTACATAACTAATTTTAATGCGTCGGAAATGTAACTAATTTTCAACCTCAACACTTTGTTTCTTTATCTCTCCGTTCTTACTTACGCCATTATACGTCATATGACGTCAACCGCTTGTTCGTATTGTGTAATCTGTTACGTGACACTAAAGCACGTGCTGTAAACAAGTGAAAAAAACACGAGTTTTGGTTTTAAGCGTTTATGGTTGGTATAAAATCTTTAATACATGTATTTGTGAATATTGTACTGCCTCAATGAAAATGTACTACATTTATATGCAGGAGAATACATTTTGATTTAAGCATTAAATATTGTTCAGTTTTGATTACAATAATTAGTGAGTGTATAACGAGAGACGAGGAAATGTGTTCAGTTAAGGAAAATGTATCTGTTGACCTAAAATTTGTGATAAAAATAACGTAAACTGCTGGTTTTGTTTTCCACACTTCACTGTAACGACACAATACGTTTAGACGCCAAAAGCTGGTAAAGCATTTACAAACAAGTAGGCCTAAAAATTATGATTAAAATCACATAAGCTGCAATTTTTTTTTCCTTCGGAGAATCTTGTTTCTCATCGTATAGTCCAGCTGACGAGTTATAATATTATACGAGAGGCTATTTGGAAGACAAGATTCAAATCTGAGATGCTATTTTTAAATCCAGAGGCGTCGATAGGTGCTTAAAAGATTCGAGGCTCGGGTCCATAGGCGCGGGAATTTTCGGCGTTTCAGTATAATATCGATCATGGTTTTCTGTTCTGGTTTTTTAAGACACCAACTGGGGATTTTTGGCACTGTCAAATAGAATCGGGGCACCGGCCCCGTATGCGAGCGCCCAGCGATGCCTTTATGTACACGCCTTTGATTTCAACCTGAAATGAAAATATTTGAGAGGAATGTGTGTGTGTGTTGGGGTGGGGGATCTGTAGTTTATGTGATTTATTATCACAAGTGTTAGTCCTAGTGGTTTGTAATGTTCTTTTCCCAGTTAAACTGCAACAGGTATTTATTGTTTACAAGAAAGCGTGTACGTATATGATGTTTCACAGAACCTGAATTGACTGTTCTTGATAACATACAATCGTGGACGTTTCTGTGGGGGGTACTTCAGGACATCCAATGTTCACAACCCTTCTGATTTATCAGTTAGGTATGAGTTTTTGTAATGTTGTTGCTTTTCTCTTCCATCAGGTGAGATAAATTCCACATATATGTTATTATGTTCTTTTATTATAATTGTTTTGATTTTTAGGTTTATATGCGTATTCTTGGACCAGCAGCACTAGCTCCGGGTTTCAAGAATGGGATAGTCCTCGGTCCGATACAAGGACAGCTACACCTTCTCCGCCTAGCCCGCTTGTTGTCATGGAAACCGTCACCTCGGGCCAAGTGTCGGATGAGGGCATTGAAATGGACGAGACAGTTGGTTTTATGGAAGAACCTCTTTCAGAGAAACGTAAGGTGAGCGTCTGGTAGCGAGGGTAAACGAACTGTGGTGATGTCTGAGAACTCTGTTAACCTTGACTGGCAATGCCGAAAGCAAAAAGGGGAGGGGGGGTTGGTGTATCTTGAAGGTTTATAATAGTGATGATTCACTTATACTTACTTGTATAATTATTAATTCTGACAAGCACCTACTTTTACCCTCAATTTCACTTTTTCTGTCGTATTAATGCAACCTTGTGCATCGTTCATAGTCCTTACCCACAGGGGGGGAATAAATTTGTTGTTTTTTTTCAGAGGCCTTTGCCCCAGCATGTATGTGTGCATGTATGCATTTCCTTCCGAAATAAAACATAATACCACGACAGACAGGGACGAAACTTTATATGGTAAAATAGTACTATTGAAACAGTAAATAGAATGCAAACTATCAGTGCTCATGCAAAATATAATTGCTACACGCTTTCAAACTGATTAATCGTACTTCGCTTCAAGAGAGTTTGTTTGTAGTTAAGCACAAAGCTACACAATGTGTGTGCTTCACGAGAGTATGTTGTTACTAATCACGTTTGTATAGAAGGTGTTTTAATTTATCGTATAAATCACGGTTTGGAGGAGATAACATCTTTTATTATTCACATTCTGTTCCGAGTGTAGTTCTTCTGAAACACGTGCCTGATAATTGTACACCCACGTTTAGCAAACCGTAATTATATAATTGGGGTGAGAGCAGACGTGAACTTTTACTGAATTCGGTGCTTAAAGTTTGAGTTGATTTTACAACTAATGTTTATATTTAGCTGTACATGAATTATGAAAGGATCCAGTAAGCTTAAAGTTAGTTTAATCGTCTCCAGAGGGAGCCCTGTGTCATAGTAACACCGTTTACAGTGGTGTGAAAGTTCATTCAGGAAATAAACATGAACTTAACCTCTGTAACAGGCAGATCTGTGCGTGTGTACTTACCCCACCCGCCTCTCTCTCTTATGATCCGCGCTGTATTTATGTTAACATGACGAAATGTTGTAGTGCACGTATCAAACACAATCAGCTAACATGGGTACAACATTTCAGAAATCTACACTATACAAATCTTCAAACAAATTCAGAACAAAAATTCTAAAGTTTGTTTGTTCCTTGTTAAGCGCAACTCTACACACAATGTTCTGTACGCACCAATGGTATCGACACCCGGTTTTTAGCATTTTAAGCCCTCACAAATGCTACTGGCTGGTAAATATGTAAAGCACAATTCTTCGTGCACTAAAAGGAACAACCTTATTTTCATGTATTGTTTCAACTTTGAAAATGATTGTCTTTGTGATTTTTTTTTTATCTGACGAGTACCATTTAGGTTTAAGTTGATAAAGGACTGATTTATAAGAGAGCCTCAGGCATGTTGAACGTACGGAAATATGTCCGTACTTTTACCATCACCCAAAATATTCGGGAAAAGTAACGGTAGTTGGTGTAACCTAGTTTCGACCCTCCACCCCCACCACGACGACCAGGTGTTTTACCCGTTGCTCTTTGTTTAACGACTACGTCATACACACGAGGTCAGCGTGCGATAAAACAGCATCCTCTATTGCATGATTTATCAGAACCTTAGCAAACAGTTGGCTTATATTTGACCTTTGAACTTCCAAGTAATATACAGATAATAATAAAATGCACCACATTGTCCGGTTTCAGAAAGTGCGAGTATCTGCGCGTGTGTTTTGTCGTTTCCACAAGGTCAAGTATAAGTTTCAATACAGATCACGTTGGAGTTGTATAGATTAGTATCTTAATGTTTTGAAATATCGTTACAACATTTCTGTGTGGAAATTAAAAGGGCTCAATAAAGTTTCCCGATCTGAAATCAGTTAATTATTTATACAGACACTGATGTTACTATTGATATTTTAGTGAACCAATCAGAATCAGACTGATTTTAGGGCTAACTTGTACGTCGTGATATACAGTACACCAGTCGAGTTGAAATAAAAATAATGCATTCTTGGCTAACTGTACACTAGAGATA